TGACAAGAAAGCATTTATCTTTTTCTTCTTACAGTGCTTTCTCCAGCAGCATGAATACTATTTGTGGTAAACTAGGAGCTAGAAGGTTAGTGGCTTTATTAACCTCACTTAGTTAAATAGAGGCAAGAATACCTGGAATCCGATTCTTCTGATTCACAGTGCAATAACTTTTTTACCCAACTAGACAGCTTCAACAAAACTACTATGACTAAACTGCTGTAAGCACATTATTCTAAGTTTGTAGTACAAGTTTTTCTTCTTGAACAGAATTATTGGAGATAATCTCATTTTTTAATTAAATTATTATCATAATTACTTTGCTTTGTTATTACTAGTCCTTATTGTGAAAAACATCCTCTTCTTTATGTAGTCATCCCCTGTACCTCCCTTTATTTTAGTTCTGGTATACCTGTATTTGTTGAAGATTAATACACTTCTAAATTACAGAAAAAGTGTCTTTGTTTTGTGCTATAAGAGAATAGCAGACTGGGTAATTTATAATTGTCAACCTAGATAACAGAGAGAGACTCTCTAAAATAAAATGATCTTTATTCAGGAATAGGGCATTGCAATAGGAGTATGTGCGCCCTTAGTAAACTACATGGGTATTTAGGGAGGTAAGGGAACACAAAGGTTTTTAAAGAAAAAATGAAAAGGATTACATAATTGTTTTGAGATAATTTAGCCATGGCTACAAGGATCAGTTACAAAAGTGACACCAGTCCAAGGTTAGATAGGCAGTTGCTGGGCAGATATCCTCACAGAAATACTGTTTTGTGTGCAAGGTTGCTGTGGTGTTTGTGCAATGTTATGGTTTTTGCAGTAGCTTTTGTGATAGTTTTTGTTACCGGGCATTTATTTGTGAGAACCCTTCCTTCATGGCCCTTTGAGGCTCTATTTTTTATTTTTATTTTTTAACCCAAATGACTCAATTTTGATCTTGACAACTTTCACATAATGAACAGAAATTTATTAGCTCATGGGTTCTTGAGGCTGGGAAGTCCAAGATTGAGGGGCTGGCATCTGGTGAGGGCCTTCTTGCTACATTATCCCATGGCAGAAGGACAAAGAGAAGATGAGAGAGAGAGAGACAGAGAGAGAGCGAGAGAGAGAGAGCAAGAGAGCACAAGATAGGGCCAAACTCATCCTTTTATAAGGAACCCATTCCCAGGATAACAGCATTAATCCATTCATGAGGGCAGAGGCCTCATAACCTAATCACTTCTCATTGGGGATCAAGTTTTTAATATATAAACTTTGAGGGATATATTCAAACCATAGTATAAAGTGTATTAGTTAAGAAATCAGTCTCTAGACTGACGAGATTCAAATAATAGCTCTGCCACTTACCAGTTGTCTAACCCTGGTCAAACTACTTAGTCACTCTGAGCCTCAGTTTCTTCATCTGTAAAACAGGGATAATTATTGGTAAGTCATAGGGTTGTGGTGAAGTTTAAATGAACTTAAATGAAATTAGAATAGTGCCTAATACATAATAAGAGCTCAATAACTGTTAGCTTTTTTTATTATTACTATTTAGAACAAATCTAGACTCTGTAACATGGACTCTAAAGAACTCTGTTTTCAGAGATGAGGAAGATCTCTTTGTATCTAGCTTGATAAAAGCAGGAACGTGCTCTTTTAATACAAGCCTTTGACACTATAATGCAGTTGCATTCTGCAGGGAACAATAATCAAATACGTTGGGTTAAAATATGCCAGCTTACTCATGCCATTAGATATTTGTTCTGCCCTTTTCACTCCTAGATTTGGTGTCCCCAGACATTTGGAGAGATTCCAGAATTCACCTTTCATTTTTGGTTAGTCTAGAATGACCTTCGAGAGAACAAAATGTATCAATAAGAAATCTTAGAGCTAGATCTCTGCAATCCTATTGTCTGGAGATTCCCAGGATCAGGAAATGGCCTACAAACAAGATTTACCAGAACAAGAAGTGTCCAAATAATTGGTGATACAAGAAGATGATACAGCTGGGGAAGCCTGTCTGGATTGTGATGTAACTAAAAGTTTACGCCAAGTTATTATATTTTTTTGCTTTAAAAGATGGTATTAAGAAAGGAAAATTTATGGAATCCATAAATAGAGGTCAGAAAATCATATTTTGGCAGGGTGTCTGTGTTCATTTCCCATTGTTGCTATAAAAAATTGCCTTATTTTACAGTTCTGGAGGAGGTCAGAAGTCCTAAGTGTCATCCTTTTCTTTCACTGGTGTGCCACAGCAAGATGGTGGTACAGTTTTCCAAGAAGAGGAAGTTTGTCGCTGATGGTATCTTCAAAGCTGAACTGAATGAAGTTCTCATTCAGGAGCTGGCTGAAGATAGCTACTCTGGAGTCGAGGTCTGAATTACACCAACTAGGACAGAAATCATTACCTTAGCCACCAGAACACAGAATGTTCTTGATGAGAAGGTCTGGCAGATCAGGGAATTGACTGCTGTAGTTCAGAAGAGGTTTGGCTTTTCAGAGGGTAAAGTAGAGCTTTATGCTGAAAAGGTGTCCACAAGAGTCATGTGCAGTTGCCCAGGCAGAGTCTCTGTGTTACAAACCCCTAGGAGGGCTTGCTGTGCAGAGGGCCTGCTATGGTGTGCTATGGTTCATCATGGAGAGTGGGACCAAAGGCTTCAAGGTCATTGTGTCTGGGAAACTCTGAGGACAGAGGGCTAAATTCATGAAGTTTGTGGATGGCCTGATGATCCATAGCTGGGACCCTGTTAATACTATGTTGACACCACTGTGCACCATGTGCTGCTCCAACAGGGTGTGCTGGGCATCAAGGTGAAGATCATGCTGCCCTGGGAACCAGCTGGTAAGATTAGCCCTAGGAAGCCCCTGCCCGACCACATGAGCATCGTGGAACCCAAAGATGAGATACTCTCCACCACCCCCATCTCAGAACAGAAATGTAGGAAGCCAGAGCCACCTGCCATGTCCCAGCCAGTCCCCACAGCATAACAGGGTCTCCTTAGCAGCTGTGTCTGGAGTCTGGATGTTGTTCTGTAAAGAACTTTAATAAAATCTTGTACAAAGACAGAAAAAAGTCCTAAAGTTGTAGATGTGTCTCACTATGCTAAAATTAAGGTGTCAGCAGGGCTGTATTCCTCTCTAAAGAATCTAGAGGATAATCTGTATTCTTGCCTTTTCCAGCTTCTGGGGGTTCCCACATTTCTTGGCTCATGGCTCCCTTCATCTTCAAAGCCAGCCATGGCCAGTTGAGTCTTTCTCATATTGCGTCACTCTAAATTGTATCTCCTTCCTCCACATTTCAAGTACCCTTGTGATTACTACCGTGGGCCTACCTGGATAATCTAGGACAATTTTCTTATTTTAAATTCAGCTCACTAGCAACCTAAATTCCATCTGCAACCTTAATTTCTCCCTGCCATGTAACGTAACATATTCACAAGTTCTGGGGATTAAGATGAGGACTTCTTTGGGGACTATTATTTTGACTACTACAGTGTCTTCAGTGTTCATCAGCTCTAGCCCACAGACTTAAGTATCTAGGCTCTTCAGCATGTATGTTCTTAAGATACAATGGATGCATCAGATTGTTATAACTTGATAGCACTAACTTCAACCAACTTCTATTGATCTAATTTTATACTTACGAAGCAATCTTTGAATAATAATTTGGTTTCCCACATTAATTTGCCTATGGAAATATAATGCTATGAGCAATTAAAAAAGTATTTAGTCAACTGGCAATTATCTTTATAAATCAATTAATTTGCATTCTTTTTTCTTTTTTTTTTTTAACTCTAATCCCATGACAGATTATATATAAGGTTTTTTGCAGGTTTTTTTTTTTTTTTTTTTTTTTTATGGGGTCTCACTATGTTGCCCAGGCTGGTCTCAAACTCCTAGGTTCAAGTGATCCTCTTGCCTCAGCCTCCAAAAGTGTTGGGATTTACAGGTGTGAGCCACTGCGCCTGGTTGGGTTTTCAATGTATGAGTTTCTATGAGCTTCATCAATGTGTTTACACCCAAGAGGTAGACAAGACTTAGTAATCTGGCAGCTCATGTTTCTGAGTCTGCAAAAATAAAGACCAGATCTGCAAACTCTGGGGAAGTCTTTCTGTCTAGTGGTCTTGTGAAATGATTGATTTTGATGTACTTTTCAAACTAAAGCTTAGAATGGATCTCACTTCCTGGCTATAAACTGGATACTCCCCTAACTTCTTTCATTACATTATTTATCCCTGCAGCATTGGTCAATTCTCTTCCTTGTTTTTATTCATTTTCTTTTTCACATCTACATACTATAATTGAACTTTTCTGGTGGAAAGTAACTTCCATAAATTTACAGTTCATTAAAAAAAGAAACGTGGATTGGCGCTAGAATTGTAACTAGAAAACTGTCTGGAATTGAGGCATACTTCTTTTTGAGTATTTCCTGTTTTCCTTTTCCAACTGGCGTATACTATGTCCCCATTCTGTTTATTTTCTTTCTGCTTCATAGTCTCTGCATTGTAACTTTAGTTTGTATGCTCTTAGTTTTTCTCTTCATCATGAACTTTCAGCCTTAATTCCATTCTGCCTCATTCTCTCCTTATTTCCTTTGTTTATATAGATAGAGGTTTCACACCAAAAAAAAAAAAAAAAAAAAAAAAAAGTGTCTAGGGCCCCAAACAACTAGGGACAGCCCTGATGAGAACAACCATAATTGGCTTAGGATGGTTGGTGGTCCTCAATCTTGACTGTGCTTTAGACTTACTTGAGGGTGCTTCTAAAACAATCTTTTTCAGACTTGACTTCCAGACCAAATTTCTTCTGTAGAAGAAATACGCATACAAACATATTTATATGCCTGTGTACTTATTTATATCTAAGGAAGAAGAAATAAGTGGAAGAATATACATCAAGACATTGAAATGATAATGGGAACAACCACATGATAATGAGAAACAACTATATTAGGGTACTCCAGAGAAACAGAACCAATAGGAGATTATATATATAATTGGCTCATTTGATTATAGAAGCCGAGAAATCCCACAACCTGCCATCTTCAAGCTGGAGATCCAGAAAAGCCAGTTGTGTATTTCCAGTTCAAGCCCGAGGACTTGACAACCAGGAGCACTGATGTCCAAGGGCAGGAGGAGATGGATGTCCAGACTCCAGAAAAGAGAGTGAATTGACCCTTCCTCTGTCTTTTTGTTCTGTTTAATCATGCAACAGTTTGGATGATGCCCACCACATTGATGAGGGCTATCTTCTTTACTCAGTAGACTGATTCAAATCTCTTCCTACTATGTCCTTTTTCTCTTCCAGGAGAAAAAACTTCATAGCCTCACTTAGCGATAATGTTCTACCAGTTACCTGGGCATGCTTAGCCTAGTCAAGTTGACTCCTAAAACTAACCATCCATAACAAACAAACAGTATAGTACTTTAACCCAAATAATGAAACAAATATACCTGGATCTATGCTGACATACATATGTAAATATATGATTAAGTAAATAAATAAATAGGTAAAAGATAAATCTTCCTTACTAAAGAATTCCAAATAATACATGCAGATAGTTTCCCCTCCAGAGATGTAACTTAAAGCTTCACCCCTTCAGTATGGGCTGAATTTAGTGTCTTGCTTCCAAACAATAGATTATGTAAAGGGAAAAAATAGTAACTTTACAGCAGAGACCCCTGGCATACACTACCTGAACAAAGCGATCAGGGTTAGCATCAACAGTGATAAGTCATGTTGGTAGTATGTATTCCTGACATGACTGATAAGAAGAGAACTTTACCTTTACCTCTGTGGTATTCGTCTTAAAAGTCTGTAACCCTATAACTAGTCATGAGAAAAAAAAAACATCATGAGACAAACCCAAATTTAAGGACATTATACAAAACATCTGACCAGCACTATTCAAAAATATCCAGGTCATCAAAAACAAGTAAAGACTGAGAAACTGTCACAGACCAGAGGAGAATAAGGAGACTTAATGGCTAATTGTAATGTGGTATCCTGCATGGGATCCTGGAACAGAAAAAAGACGTAGTAGGAAAAATTGGTGAAATTTGAATTAACTGTGAAAATTGATTAATAGTCATGAACCAATAACACTCTCTCAATTTTAACAAATGTGCCACAGTTATGTTAAGATGTTAATATTAGAGGAAACTGGGTAAAAGACATACAGGCACTCTCTGTGCTATCTTTATAACTTTTCTGTAAATTTAAATTATTCCAAAATAAAACGTTCGATATAGTTTGGATATTTGTCCCTGCCCAAATCTCATGTTGAAATGTAATCTTCATCGTTGGCGGTGGGGCCTGGTGGGAGGTGTTTGGGTCATGGGGGAGGATCCCTCTTGGCTTGGTGCTGTCCTCATGATAGTGAATGAGTTTTGATGACATCTGTTCCTTGTAAAGTGTGGCCCTCCAGCCTCCACCTCTTGCTCCTGTTCCCGCTATGTGATGTGCAAGCTTCTGCTCCACCTTCTGCCATGAGTAAAATCTCCCTGAAGCCTCCCCATAAGCCAAGAGATGCCCGCTCTGTACAGCCTGCAGAACCGTGAGCCAGTTAAACCTATTTTTTAAAATAAATTACTCAGTCTCAGGTATTTCTTTATAGCAACACAAGAGTGGTCAATACAAAGTTTACTTTAAAAATATACTCCAGGCCAGGTGTGGTGGCTCGTGCCCGTAATCCCAGCACTTCGGGAGGCTGAGGTGGGGAGATCACTTGAGGTCAGGAATTTGAGACCAGTCTGGCCAACATGGTGAAACTAAAAATACTAAAAATACTCTCTACTAAAAATACAAAATTAGGTAGGCATGGTGGCATGCGCCCGTAATCCCAGCTACTTTGGGAGCCTGAGGCAGTAGAATCGCTTGAACTTGGGAGGCAGAGATTGAACCGGGATCATGCCACTGCACTCCAGCCTGGGTGACAGACAGAGGCTCTATCTCAAAAAAAAATTTATATATATATGTGTGTGTGTGTGTGTGTGTATGTATATATGTGTGTATATATATGCATATATGTGTGTGTGTGTGTGTGTGTGTGTGTGTGTGTGTGTATATATATTCCAAAGATGCTGAGGTGTGGGTTGGTACGGCATCTCACTTGCCTGAGTCTGAGGGCTGCACTGATTCCCATTTACCTTGTATGTGGTTAGTTTAGGCATGGGCAAGTGACAATTCTAGCCAATGCCATAGAGGGGAAGTCTGCTGAGAATGTATGAGCAAGGTCTTAAACTAAACTATTTGGAGGAAAAAAAATCAGTCTGTTTTCTGCTACTGATTGTTGTGTCTATAGTGAGCGGTGATTTTGCCCCCACTCTCCATGGGACTTTTGACAATGACTGAAGAGTGAAGACACTTTTGCTTTTTGTAACTGTGGGGAGAGTGCTATGGGCATCTACTGGGTAGAAAACAGGGATGCTGCTAAACATTCCACAATGCACAGGACAGCCCCCCATAACAATGAATGATTCAGCCCCAAATACCAACTTCCAAAGTTAAGAAACTGCTGTATGTGATCACTGTTGTATGGTAGATGTGCTATGACTGTGAAGACAAGGCTAAGGATGACAGAACCAAAGCGCACAAAAAAAATTAGTTCATGGTGACAATGTTGAGGAACCATTGAATTAAACAACCTCTCACATGCCTATACCTGGACTCTTTTTTTTTTTTTTTAGTTGATTTGGCAGGTGAGTTGTTACACAGTCCTTAGTGGATTCCAACTTCCATGGTCACTGTCCTGCTTGGACTCTTTTTAGGTGAAAATAAATCTCTTTATTGTTTAAAAACTCCGTTGGCATTTATTTGCAGACAGGAGCATTCTAATTGACATAGAAAAAGAAGGAGTACAACAAATTTTGTAGGGCTACAAGCACAGGGTGTCCCAGGGAGGGGAAAAATTAGAATGATACAAATTCTAACTGAAATTCCACTTGCTCTGAGAAGTCACCAAAATAACTTTCTGTGTTGTCAAGACAGATGCTCAGCTGAACACTTCCATCACAGTAAGCTATGCTGATTTTATTTGCTCCACTTATCAGGATTTAGAACAAAACTTTTTTGAAAGTGACTTGAAATCAGGGAACATTGTTAAAGTTTTTATATATTCTTTGAGGAAACCACTCCCAAACTTTTCTGTTCAAAGACGTTTAGGTTTTTTTGTTTGTTTGTTTTTGTTTTTTGGAGACAGTTTCACTCTTACTGCCCAGGATAGAGTGCAATGGTACAATCTCAGCTCACCACAGCCTCTGCCTCCCTGGTTCAAGCAATTCTCCCGCCTCAACCTCCTGAGTAGCTGGGATTATAGACATGTGCCAACACCCCTGGCTCATTTTGTATTTTTAGTAGAGACAGGGTTTCTCCATGTTGGTCAGGCTGGTCTCAAACTCCTGACCTCAGGTGATCCATCCGCCTTGACCTCCCAAAGTGCTGGGATTACAGGTGTGAGACACCATGCCCGGCCAGATGTTTAGTTTTTTATTAAAAATTTTAAAATATACATTTGTTCTTTGTACTAACCAAGAAGCACTGATCTTCAAAGACATTTAAAGTGCTGAAAAGGAAAAAATGATATAATCTCTTTAAATTTGCAATTTAGGCTGGATGCAGTGGCTCATGCCTGTAATCCCAACACTTTGAGGGGCCAAGGAAGAATTGCTTGAGCCCAGCAGTTCAAGACTAGCCTGGGCAACAAAGCAAAACCCCATCTCTAGAAAAAAATTAAGCCTGGCCAACATGGTGAAACCCCATCTCTACCAAAAAATATAAAAATTAGCCAGGTGTGGGGGTGCGTGCCAGTCCCAGCTACTGGGGAGGCTGATGTGGGAGAATCACTTGAACCCGGGAGGCAGAGGTTGTAGTGAGCCGAGATTGCCCCGTTGCACTCTAGCCTGGGCAATAGAGAGAGAGAGAGACCCTGTCTTAAATGAATGAGTGAATGAATACATAAAATAAAAATAAAAATAAAAGTAAATTAGCCAGGCTCAGTGGCACACACCTCTAGTCTTTGCTATTTAGGTCTGAGGCAGGAGGGTGCCTTGAGTCCAGGAGTTTGATGTTGCAGTGAGCTATGATTGCACAACTGTACTTCAGCCTGGGTGACAGAGCGAGACCCTGACTAAAAAAAAAAAAAATATTGCAACTTAGAAGAAACATTTTTGGGCCAGGCGCGGTGGCTCATGCCTGTAATCCTAGCACTTTGGGAGGCCAAGACAGGCAGATCACGAGGTCAGGAGATTGAGACGATCCTGGCTAACACGATGAAACCCCATCTCTACTTAAAAAAATACAAAAAAATTAGCCTGGCATGGTGGGTGCTTGTAGTCCCAGCTACTCAGGAGGCTGAGGCAGAATTACTTGAACCCGGGAGGCGGAGGTTGTAGTCAGCTGAGATTGCACCACTGCACTTCAGAGCGGTGACAGAACAAGACTCTGTCTCAAAGAAAAAAAAAAAATTTACAATTGAAGTTGGAAAATAATTTTTTTAATATACTTTAAGTTCTAGGGTGCATGTGCACATGTGCACAACGTGCAGGTTTGTTACATATGTATCCATGTGCCATGTTGGTGTGCTGCACCCGTTAACTCGTCATTTACATTAGGTATATCTCCTAATACAATCCTCCCCCTCCCCCAACCCCATGACAGGCCCTGGTATGTGATGTTCCCCTTCCTGTGTCCAAGTGTTTCTCATTGTTCAATTCCCACCTACGAGTGAGAACATACAGTGTCTTTGGTTTTCTGTCCACTTGGGCAAATAGTTTGCTCAGAAATGAGGCTTTCCAACTTCATCATGTCCACTTGTAAAGACATGAACTCATCCTTCATTTTATGGGCCTGCATAGTATTCCATGGTGATAATATGTACCACATTTTCTTAATCACGTCCCTATCCACTGATGCACATTTGGGTTGATTCCAAGTTTCTTTTTTTACTATTGTGAATAGATGCCACAATTAAACATACATGTGGCATGTGTCTTTACAGTCAGCATGATTTATAATCTTTGGGGTAATTATACCCAGTAATGGGATGGCTGGGTCAATGGTATTTCTAGTTCTAGATCCTTGAGGGAACCGCCCACACTGTCTCTCACAATGGTTTGAACTAGTTTACAGTCCCACCAACCAGTGTAAAGGTTCCTATTTCTCCCACATCCTCTCCAGCACCTGTGTTTTCTGACTTTTAATGATCACCGTTTCTAACTGGTGTGAGATGGTATTCTCATTGTGGTTTTGATTTGCATTTCTCTGATGGCCAGTGATGATGGAGCATTTTTTCATGTGTCTGTTGGCTGCTTAAATGTCTTCTTTGAGATTGTCTGTTTCATATCCTTTGCCCACTTTTTGTGATGGGTTGTTTGGATTTTTTTCTTGTAAATTTGTTTAGTTCTTTTAGATTTTGGATATTAGCCTTTTTCAGATGGGTAGTTGCAAAACTTTTCTCCCATTCTATATGTTGCCTGTTCATCTGATGGTAGTTTCTTTTGCTGTGCAGACATTTTTAGTTTAATTACACCATTTGTCAATTTTGCTTTTGTTGCCATTGCTTTTGGTGTTTTAGACATGAAGTCCTTGCCCATGCCTATGTCCCTGAATGGTATTGCCTAGGTTTCTTCTAGGTTTTTATGGTTTTGGTTCTAACATTTAAGTCTTTAATCCATGTTGAATTAATTTTTGTGGTAAGATGTAAGGAAGGGACCCAGTTTCAGCTTCTACATATGGCTCGCCGGTTTTCCCAGCACATTTATTGAACAGGGAATCCTTTCCCCATTTCTTGTTTTCGTCAGGTTTTGTCAAAGATCAGATGTTTGTAGATGTGGGTGGTATTATTTCTGAGGGCTCTGTATACCATTGGTCTGTATCTCTGTTTTGGTGGAAAATAATTTTTATGTGAATTATTAAAACAGTGGGTAAATGGGAATAGATAAAAAAGGAGAAAAAGCTGTTATATTTTTGTTTTTTTCTCCCTTTTTCTAATGTGATAGGAGGGGGAAATCAAGGCATATTGAGCATAGTGAAAGGTTTAAATGATCTTACAGGAACTATTTCTTTAAGAAGAGACAATTAGTGACAACACTGGAGGCAAGAAGATCAGGCTCCTATGGCCAGGGCCTTGGATGTGCTAGTTAAAATTTTCCTTAATATGAAAGCCATGATTTAGTCAAGTTATGAT